GGGTCCTGGAAAAGCTGTCGGGCTGAGGGGAGGCGAGGAATGGGGGTCCTACCCCGAAGCTCAGGGGCAGCTGACCCTGTGGCTCCGTGACGGCCCAGCTGTGTGGAGTGACCCCAGGTCAAGGGGCACCACGGCAGGAGCCATGGCATCCTGTGCTGAGGGGACAGAGCCGGCTGGAAGGCTGGGCAACCTCAAGGCCGAGGCGGGCCGGGCTGGAGGAGACCGGTTTTTAAGTGTCCTCAGTCCCAGGTGTGTGTGCGGGAGAGAAGTAGTGGGGTCCGGCACAGATAACGCCCCTCTTTTATTACCAACTCTTTTATTACAAAACCACGAGCACGTGATTCTGTAACGTAACAGCAACACACTCAAGCACCCTGTAGGACATTTTAGATGACATGTTCAAGTTAAAACTACAAATCCTGACGCCCATAGTGGCACCCTCCCAACCACCCTCAAGCAGGCCTCGCTTCTGCCGGGCCCTGTGCTTGCACTCCCCTCCAGCATCCGCACGGGACACGCGGGCCATCCACAACACAGCGTCTCTGCGAAAACGTGCTCAGCGAATTCAAACATCCCTCCCACCGTGGGCTTGTGAACAGTGTGGGTTGCACCCGCCTTGGAAAGCCTCGGGAGGGAGAGGGCGGGGCCAGACAGCTTCATACAGTCTTCCCTCCCCCATGTCAGAAGAGGCTGTTTACAGTTCTGCTTTTCAGGGCCCCCCTGACCCCACGACTGACCCACCAGACTCCCGGCCCAGACCCACCCTCAGAGGGGAGGCCTGGGCCCTTCCTCTGCATGACAAAGGGCAGCTGCCCTCCTCCCGACCACCAGGTCCCCGTAAAAACCCTCCCAATCCACACTCCGGTCTTCTCTTGGCCACTAGCTAATTGCCCAATTATTTTATTTCCCCCGAGCAGAACCTCAGGCCGCCTGGAATCCACATTCGGGGCCAGGAGCCTGTGTCCAGGCGGCCACAGGAGTCTGGAAGTTGATCCTCTGTCTGCCTGCAGCTCTCGCCTCCCGGCCCAGCCCTGCCCCCGACCCTGGGGTGACCGGGTCCCCCACCCACCCAGAGCTGATGGTCACCTCCCACCAGCTTCAGGGGGTCCGGCAACGCTGTGCACTGGGAACGGCTTGAGGGTGCGGAAGGAACTTGGGGCTGGGAATCGGAAGACACGACCACGCAGGCATCACCTGTGTGAGCCTGGGGACCTCGTCACCTCCCGGGGCCTAGGTTTCTTAGCTCTAAAACCTGGGGGCAGGAGAATGGCCTGGAGAGTCCATTTCAGCTCCGATTCTATGAAGGATCAGAACCCTTTGTACAGAAAGTCCTTGGCAACTTCGATGTCAAGGGAAATGACATAATGACGTGCAATGAAACCAATGTTACAAAAGGCTAATTGACAGAAATGTTAAATCCCTCTGGCATATTTCTGGTCACAAAAACATCACCCAACTTTTAATAGGAGAGCCAAAACACTTCTAATGTTAAACATTGAGATAAATGTGCGCTATATGATATATTTAAGAAAGATGAGTCAAAACCAGTAAGATCATTAGTTTCCAACCCGCTGATTCCAATTCCGGGTCGCTGGAGGCCTGAGCTTCTCCTCGAAGTTCGGGGTGCCAGGTGGGGGCCCACCCGTCTCAGGGCCCCTCCCCCTCACCCCACGTCACTCGGACTGGGACAGTGCACACACGCTGGCTCACCTGCACGTCTTTGGGATGTGGGAGGGGCCCGGAGTCCCTGGGGAGACCCATGCAGACGCGGGGAGATTGTGCCAACTCAACACGGACCATGGCCATAGCCAGGGAGTGATTTTTTCTTTCTTTCCCTCCTCAGCATTACAGCAAAATGCCTGGGACCCAAAATGACCTGTTCAGGGACTTGCTGTAGAATCATCTCCCTCTGATTCTCCAAAGTAACAGGGAAGAGGAGGAGAAGGGTATGGCGCCTTGCTGGATGGACACCCCCTTAAGGGAGGTCCCCGAGATAGAGAAGGGTTCTCCGTTTCCCAGTGGTGGACCACTTCCCCAGGCTCTTGGTAACCCCTTGGAACTCCTGAAACCCACCTGGGTGGGCAGGACCGGTCCTCGGTCAGCGACACTGGGGGTGACTGGGTCGCTCTAGTGCCCACTGAACCCTCAGCTCTAGGGGTCTCTGTGCTAGCAGGCCAGCTCAGGAGCACCCAAGAGACGTCTGGGGGTGAGGGTGGCAGAGAATCCAGCAGAGGAGGGATTCCACTTGACTTTGTGCGCTGGAAAATGAAGTTTCAGTTAACTGGTCAGTTACTCCCTGTGCAGAAGGGGCTCCCGACTGCTGGGGACTCCCATGGTCCTCCGCCCGCCCCGAGGCAGCTCCTTGGTGGGAGGAGCCTGTGTCGGTCAGGGAGCAGCAGCCCCAGGGGCCTGGCCCCTCTCGCCCTTGTGATAGCAGGTCCCTGCTGAAGCCAGCCCCAGTGAACTCCGGGGGTCTAGGTGTTTGGGGACTGTCAAAGGGCCCCTAGCATGCCTGGGTGTCATATCCTTGGCACCACCCTGGCCGGTGATAAGCTACAAGGCTTCCTCCTCCCCAGCGCCCAGGCTGGCGGACTTTGCATATTTATGGAACACCAGCCCGGAAGAGAGCTTCAAGGGACCGAGGGCCACAGGCCCTGGGCCGCCTGTAAATGGGACGCTTCTGCACCTTTTGGCCTGACGTGAGGCCCAAATGTTTGCATCAAGCCCTGTCCCCGCTAATCGTCACTTGCAAAGGAGAGCGACACGAATCTTTTGAAGAGGGTTACACTTGTCACAGAGAGAGCAGGAGGGCCTGTTTGGGCCCAACACAGAGGTGGCGCCTTATAGTTTCAGAATGCTCAAAGTCTGAGATAGGAGCCCCAAGACGGGATTTGAATCCTCCTTGTGAATGACACCGATTCCGTGGAAACGGAAGAGGGAGAGGAGTGGAAAGGAAAGGGGAGCCCGGAAGCGATGGCGGCGGTCCGGTCCTGCCACCCCCTGAGATTCCTCTCTTGGGTTCAACTGTCAAAATCTCGGTATTTCCTCCTACCTTGTCCTGGGTCCATATTTGGCAGAATCCTTGTTTCCTTCCCTTCAAGCAACCCTAGCTCTGGCACTTGCTAGCTGTAGAACCTTGGGCAATCAGGTCGAGTTTTATGCCTCAGTTTCTTCATCTGTGAAATGGGAACAAAAACGGCAACTTGTGAGGCTAAAGAGTTAAAGTATGTAAAACACTCAGAACGGTGCACAGCCCATAAGCACTGTTAGCCATTGCGAGTATTACCAGTGTTGTTATCATTCCTCCCCTTCCCCAAATTCTAAGCCCCCCACCTTATTACTGAAGCCCCTCAAAGTACACCCACCCATGCAGACGGTGGCAGTTTATGCACGATGTCCTGGGCTCTCATCCAGGGGAAATCCCGCCCTTGTGCACCAGAAGGTTCTCTCCCTCAGCCTGGGAGAGAGAACCTGTCAGGAGCACAGTGGCAGGACGGTGCCACAAGAGACCTGCCAGCGACGCAGCACCCCTCTTGGGAGGGGGAGGGGGGTGCTCCCTGCCCACTGGGCCCCTTCGCCCTCACCCGCAGTCCTCCTCGTCCGCCTTGACCATCCTTGCTCACCTCCCACGTGACAGGACACGGGCTTTGGGGGGGACTGCCTCCTGCACACCCTCGAACCTCCTGGGCTGGGAGGGGCCGCTGGGACCAGAGGGGCCTCCCCAGCCCTCCCCTCGCTGGGTGGGCGCGGGCAGGTCCCTTCACCACGTGCCGTTGGGACTTCGCTTCAGGTGGGTGCCGAGCCTGCCTCCTGGGGCTGCTGTGAGCCCACGTGCAGAGCGCAGAGCGGCCCCTGGCACCCAGGGAGCTCTGCCGGTCGTCGCCGTGTCGGGAAAAGCAACTGTGCAGATGGCGGTGAGCCTTTGTACGGGCTCACTACGCACCAGGCGCTGCTACGGCGCTTCATCTTCCTGCCAGCCCTGTGGTGGAGCCCACTACCATCACCCCTCCTCCCGAAGGGCGACTGAAGCACCGAGTGGTGCAGGAGCTTGCTAGCAGGTCAGACGGCCAGCAAGCAGCACCCGTGGGCCCAGCCTGTCTACAATGTGAGTTTGAGGAGGCCCAGGGGGCTCCCACCCTCCACAGTGTGCCCAGAACCTGTGGCTTTGGACAGGACAGGACTCTGGGCAGCTCTGGCCTCTGCCTTCCAGGTTCCTGTCCCTGGAGCCCCATCTGGGCACGGCATGGGCTTGGACGGAGGGCCAGCAGCCGGCGGCCAGGCTCCCTGCACGGCACACTCCCCAGGAGGATGCCCCGCTCTCACTCTGCCAAGACGCTGCAGAAATCTCTTCCCAGGCACTTCCAAAGAGCCCAGCTGCCAGATTTCTGTCCGGACAGCATTGAGCTTCCTTCTGTCACAAGGGAGGACCAGGTCCCCCGACCCCGAGGGACTGTGGAGGGGAGGGGGGCTTGCAGGGACTGGAGAAAGCTGATGCAAGGGGCTTCTGTGGAATGCCCTGAGCAGGGCCTGGCCCAGGACCACGAGAATGCAGACCGCTTTCCCGGCTTCCTTCTCTGCGAGCAAACCCAGGCTGGCCCCCAGGAAAGGGACCTCCACCGCGGGCTCTGGCTAGCGGCACTTTTTCACAGAACAGTCTTGCTCTTTCTTAGACCAGGACTGGGATAGAGCCAGGGAAATTCAATAGGCACTAAGACTATTACTGAGCTGCCAGACAGCAGCGGCCAGAGGCCCCCGCCGTGTGGCATTCAGGCAGCCTTCGTGCGCTTCCCAGACAGCCCCTCCTCGGGGCTCAGGGACCTGTCTGGCTGCGGAGCTCCCAGGAGGCGAGGGGTGTGACCTTCCCCCTCCTCACCCAGACCCAGGCCCAGCCCAGGGCTGCTATAAAGCTGGCCCAGCCTGGCTCTCAGCACACCCACCTGGGACCCTCCCAGACCCTCCTCAGGGGACACACCGCTCTGCTCCTCCTCCTGAGTGGCACCATGAGGTCCCTGTGGCTCTGCTGGGTGCTCTGGGCGCTGCCCCTGGCGGGCCCCGGGGTGGCCGTGACCGAGGAGCGGATCCTGAGCAGCCTGCTGCAGCAGCTGCACCTCCAAGAGGTGCCCATCCTGGACAAGAGCGACGTGGAGGAGCTGGTCACCCCTGCCCACGTGAAGGCCCAGTACGTGGCCCTGCTGAGGCGCAGCCATGGAGCCCCCTCCCGAGGGAAGAGGTTCAGCCAGAACTTCCGAGGTGAGGCCTCCCTCCCTGCTGCACCCAGGGCCTTGGGGGGAGGGGGCTACAACTGGATATGCCCATTTGGGAAGGCTGCTGGGGCCCCTCTCTGGGGCTGGGACTCACCCCCTGGGTACCCAGAGACAGACCCAAGTGCCCAAGGTGAGGATTCTGATGTTCAACATCTCAGCTGACCTTGTTAGCTCAGGGCCCAAGGGCTGCCCTTCCTGCTCCTGGGGATTGTTACAAAAGGCTATAGACAGGCCCCAGGGGGCTTTCTAGGTAACCAGGCTTGGTTCTCTCTCCACCTGGCCACCACCTCAGTGGTCCTATTACCCTCAGAGGTCTCCCGGTGCCTGGAGAGGCCCCGCTGACCCTGCGCTTGTGCCCAGAGGTGGCCGGCAGGTTCCTGGTGTCCGAGGCCTCCACACTCCTGCTGGTGTTCAGCATGGAGCAGCGGCTGCCCCCCAACAGCGAGCTGGTGCAGGCGGTGCTGCGCCTCTTCCAGGAGCCAGTCCCCGAGGCCGCGCTCCGCACGCATGCGCTGCTCTCTCCGCGCAGCGACCGAGCCCGGGTCACCGTCCAGTGGCTGCAGGTCCGGGATGATGGCTCCAACCGCACGTTCCTCATCGACTCCAGGTGGGGAAGCCCTGGCTAGGACGTGTGTGAGGAAAGAGTGGGACACAGAGTAGGGGGAGGGGCGGGAAGGGGCTGGCCCATTCTTCGGAGGAAAATGGGAGGGGGCTGGGAAGGGGCTGGAGAGATTCCCCCAATCTCCACCCCTCAGCTCAAGCCTCTGTCCCCGCCTGGCATCACAGAGCCGTGTCCATCCGCGAGAGCGGCTGGAAAACCTTCGACGTGACCGAAGCCGTGAACTTCTGGCAGCAGCTGAGCCGGCCCCGGGAGCCCCTGCTGCTGCAGGTGTTGGTGCAGAGGGAGCACCCGGGCGGGCTGGCCTCCAGTGCCCACAAGCTGGTCCGCTTCGCCTCCCAGGGCCCATCGGGCACCCGGCAGGGAGAGCCGCAGCTGGAGCTGCACACCCTGGACCTCGGGGAGTTCGGGTAGGTCCCAGCGGGCAGGAGCGGGCTACATGGTCCAGGCCCTAGACCCCCAGGACTAGCTGGGTGGGTGGGTGCAGGCAGCCCAGGATGCAACCCATTCCCCACTGCATGTCAGTTTCTAGTGGGGGAAATCTGCATTATTCAAACATTTTATTGAAAAACACCTTCGGGTATTTTCAACGGGTTTTTGTGTTGTCATCGACACATACATTGTTCTAATTATCTATTTTCATTTTACCCTTTACCATAATTAATTCTTTGAAAAATATTAGCGTGAGCTGTTACTAAGTCAAACAGCTTTCATCTGGCATCCGTGAATTCTTTCTCCAGGGACACGTAACAGGCCTTTGGCATCATACAGCCTGGGTTCCATGTAGCTCTGCCTCCTACTGGCTGCAGGGCCTCTGGCATGTCACTTCACGTCTCTGGGTCTCAGTGTCCTCGTGTGTCACAGGGGTCATGCTGGACCCTCAGCAAGGTTCATGTCAGGATAAATGCAGGTGCCATCTGAGATAACATATGTGAAGTACCTGCTCCAGTGGCTGGCATATGAGGAAACTTTAGTAAACAGCAGCTGATTTATGTTTTGGATGTTTATTCATTCACCATTTATCACACATACCCACCTTTTCTAATGTCATGAGGGATGGGCCATATCTCTTCCTCCCACACTCCCCCCAAGGTCCTCCCTGGGTCCCCCGACCTCGGCTCTCCCAGCTGACCTCTGACTCCACCGCTCCTTGCCCCCACAGAGCTCAGGGCAACTGCGACCCCGAGGCGCTCGTGAGCCAGGGCACCCGCTGCTGCCGCCAGGAGACGTACATCGACCTGCAGGGGATGAAGTGGGCTGAGAACTGGGTCCTGGAGCCCCCGGGCTTCCTGGCCTACGAGTGTGTGGGCACCTGCCGGCAGCCCCCGGAGACCCTGACCTCCAAGTGGCCGCTTCTGGGGCCAAGAGAGTGCATCGCCTCAGAGACGGCCTCGCTGCCCGTGATCGTCAGCATGGAGGAAGGAGGCCGGCGCCGGCCCCAGGTGGTCAGCCTGCCCAACATGAGGGTGCAGAGGTGCAGCTGCGCCTCGGACGGGGCGCCCGTGCCCCGGAAGCTGGAGCCATAGGTGCTGGGCAGGGCCATGGAGGCCTCCACATGTGCACCAGAGCAGGTCTTAGTGTAGGTTGTAGTTTTCCACTTAGCAAGTTTCCCCTGCCCCAGTTAGGGCCCGTATTTTACCTTCCTGAGGGTTTCTCCATTTCTTGCCCTTCTGTCCATCACCCTAAGCACTTACATGAGTGACTAATGCCCCTCGGGGTTGCTGAGTTGAAATCCTGGTGTGCTTGTTAGCTGGTGTAGCTGAACATGGATAGATTGTGTGCTGGGAGCTTCTGTGCGCTGGCAAATTCTCAGCTGAGTCGGGGACAACATGCCCCATCCTAAGGGCTGGGGAGATCAAACTCATTTACTCTACTACATAATGAATGAAAACAAAGCCCCCAAACCCCTCTGTTTCCTCTCAATAGGGAGGGTGTCCAGAAATGAAGCCCCGTCTCCCACCTGTTGACTCAGTTCGGACCCTGAGAGGGTGCTGAGGGAGGAGGCATGGCTTGAGGCCAGGGCCAGGGGCCAGGGAATCAGCACAGCTGGTTCCCCAATCTACCAGGGTGACAAGCTGTGACCTCATGCAAACGAAGAAGTCTCTGAGCCACCATGCTGTCCTTGTGAAAAAGAGGAGCTGGGTCTCAGCTCTAAGAGGTAGTTGCGCTAGGAATCCGACAGCCCTAACCTCACCCTCTCCCGGCCCCCGAGGCCGAACACTTCCCGGGCATATTTAGCTACTCCTGCTTTAGAGAACGGGTCACCAGTTAATACCCATATTTAGCTACCATGTATTTAGTTTTTTATTATTATTTAGCAAAGAAAACCCCACCCCAACTGAGTGTAGATAATCTGCTGGAATAAAAGTGGTCTCACTCTGTCTCTGTATTTAATTTCTAGTATTTAATAATTCCTGTATTTAAATATCCTTTACATAGGAGGCGGGCGCACAGCCCCGGCCCGGCCTCGGATTGGTCCGCCCCGAGCTCTCGGCCGCCGATTGGCTGCCTGGGCGGGGCGGGGCCACGTGGGCCGCGCGGAGAGGTCTGCGTGTGAGTGCGGAGGGGTGGGCGGATCCGAGTCGGAAGCTGTAAGAAACACCCGAGATCCGACTTCCGCGTCGCTCACACCGCCTTTCCCCTGCGGTACCTCCTGGGCCGCGTGGAGCGGGTTCCTGCGGCTGCCGGGTGGTCGCCGAGCCCAGGACCATGAGCGTGGGCTTCATTGGCGCGGGCCAGCTGGCCAGCGCCCTGGCGCGGGGCTTCACGGCCGCAGGTGAGCAAGTGGCGGCGGGAGACCGATGCGCCGGCGGCCTGTTAAGCAGCAAGAGCCTTATGTCAGTGTAAGGGATCGAGGGGGAGAGGGAGGTCGGCACGGTGCGCATGGCGGGCTTCGATTCCGCTTTCCCAGGGAAAGCGTGGGGACGGGGTGGGCCAGGATCCCCCGATGAAAAGCCCTCTCTGCCGTAGGCGTCCTGTCGGCTCACAAGATAATAGCCAGCTCCCCGGAAATGGACCTGCCCACGGTGTGCGCGCTCAGGGTAGGTGGGACAGAGGGGTGTGGGGCAGACGGTGGGGGCCCAGGAGGAAGGCTTGCTTGGGCGGTCATCAGCCAGCTGACCCTCTTCACCATCCTGAGCATCAGGATCCCCCACCTTCCCTGGGACAGCTCAGTGTGGCCAGACCGCCCAGACCAACCCGCTGGGGTTCAAATCCAGGCTCTGGGGTGGTTAGAGTAATGGAGGTAGTATGTGTGGAAAGCGCCTGGCACATAGTAGGTACCCAGGAAACACTCCTTAGTCTTTGTGAACTGTCTGTGTGTCCTTAAGGTACTCTGAGCCTCAGTTTCCTCGTTTATAAAATGGAGGCCACAGTATGCTCTTTGCTGAGTTACTTGGAAGCATGAATGAGTGTGCAGGGAAAGCCTGGCGAGGTAGCTGTCCCTCTCTCTAAAAAGGAACATTGAATATCCCACGTCTTCACCCAAACCTGCGCTGTGTGGGAGGGGCTGTCTGATGAGGCAGATGCCGGGTGGCGTCTGTGCCTGGGATGGCTGGCGTTCCCAGCCCTGCAGGGCCCTGCTTCTCAGCTGGGAGCCCCATGGGGACGAGTGTCCTCTGACCATCCCTGGACCACGTGGAGACCACACTGTCTGAAAACAAGTGTCCATGGTTGGGAGAGGGCCCGACCCAGCTCTGCTTCCAACCGTTGGGTGCTAACATTTCACCTTTCCCTTTGTCACTTTCCAGCCGTGGAGACTTCTTACCTGGCAGAGGGGTGCCTTGGGGACTAGAGAATTGGTGGGGGTGTGGGACAGCCATTTCCTGGTTGCCATGGAGAAGCTTGTCCATGCTCACACTGGAGCTCACTTGCCCAGTAGCAACACTGGATCACTTTGTGCCAGTAGGGTAGGGGCAGACCCTGAGGGGACAAGGCAGGGAATCTCAGGCTGCAGCGGGCCTAGTAGGCTTGGCAGGGGTCCAGCTGCTCCGTGGGAGGGTCTGCGCCCGGTGGGGCCATGAGCTGGGCCGTTCCCTCCTGCAGAAGTTGGGGGTGAACCTGACCCGGAGCAACAAGGAGGTGGTGAGGCACAGCGACGTCCTGTTCCTGGCCGTGAAGCCGCACATCATCCCCTTCATCCTGGACGAGATCGGGGCTGACGTCCAGGCCAGGCACATCGTGGTGTCCTGTGCAGCCGGTGTCACCATCAGCTCTGTGGAGAAGGTGCCTGTCTCAGCTCCGGCGCCTCGGTGTGTGTTGGGGGGGTGGGTGCTAGTGAGAGCTATGCCTCGGCCACTCACCCGCCCTCCTCCTTGCTCCAGAAGCTGCTGGCATTCCAGCCGGCCCCCAAGGTGATCCGCTGCATGACCAACACCCCTGTGGTGGTACGGGAGGGGGCCACGGTGTACGCCACAGGCACCCACGCCCTGGTGGAGGACGGGCAGCTGCTGGAGCAGCTCATGGCCAGCGTGGGCTTCTGCACCGAGGTGGAGGAGGACCTGATCGACGCCGTCACCGGGCTCAGCGGCAGTGGGCCTGCCTACGTGAGGCCCTCATATACTTACTCAGCCATCTGGGGACCCAGGGGAACAAGATGGGATGGCAGGCAGGCTGGACTGTGGGTGCCGCCTACCTCTTGGGTGCAGCCAGCTGGTGGCGGAAGCTGTTGCTTGGCACTAGCTCCAGTCACCAGGAAAAGCAGGCCCTCAGGGTGCCCTTGGGTGTCTGCTGCCCCAAGACTCAGTGAGCGTCTCTGCAGGCGTTCATGGCCCTGGACGCGCTGGCCGACGGCGGGGTGAAGATGGGCCTGCCGCGGCGCCTGGCAGTACGGCTGGGGGCCCAGGCCTTGCTGGTCAGTATCTTCCCTCTGCATGTTCTGGACCAGGGTGTGGGCTGGGGGATCTTGCAGGTCAATGAGCTGGGGGCAGGGCTTGCTTGGGAAGCTGGGAGGAGGACTGGGGGAGCCTTTCCCAGGGTGCACCTGCAGTGTGTTTCTCTCATATTCCCCTTCTGCTCCAGGGGGCTGCCAAGATGCTGCTGGACTCAGAGCAGCACCCAAGCCAGCTCAAGGACAACGTCTGCTCCCCCGGGGGCGCCACCATCCACGCCCTGCACTTCCTAGAGAGCGGGGGCTTCCGCTCCCTGCTCATCAATGCCGTCGAGGCCTCCTGCATCCGTACACGGTGGGTCTCTCTCTCTCTTCCACCCAGGCCCCCACTTCCCGGGGGACCCCACTCTGGGCTGGGCCCTGTCTGGCAGAACCAGCCATCTTTGGTCTCATGAGCAGTGTTGGAGTCTCTGCTGTGTTCATAATCAGGACCTACTGGCTGATGGCTTGCAGGCTTTCCCTCGATTCATTCTCGCCACAGTTCTGATCGTTGGGATTAGCTTTGATTCGTAGGTGAGGATGTTGAGACTCAGACAGTTTTCCCAAGGTCAAACAGCTAAGAAGGGGTGGAGGCAGGATTCAACTTCAAGTCTATGACTTTAAACCCTGCGGCTTTCCACACTCCCTCTCCCCCAGCCCCCATCGGTGTGATCACGGATACTGGCTGGTGCTCTGTGTCTGTGCAGTGATCCATGCTTAGTGAAAGAGCACTTCCGGGGAGGTGGGGGCAGTGCTCGGTTGGCCTTCTCATTTTGGGTGGCGTCAAGTCCACAAGGGTTGGGGTTATGTGGGCGGGGAAGCCTTGAGAAGTTCCACCCCAAGGTTTAGTGCCTTCCCCCTTAAGCCCCATTGGCGCTTTGTCTCCAGAGAGCTGCAGTCCATGGCTGACCAAGAAAAGGTCTCCCCAGCTGCGCTCAAGAAGACCCTCCTGGACAGAGTGAAGCTGGAGTCCCCCACCGTGTCCACACTAACCCACTGCAACTCAAGGAAGCTCCTCACCAGAAACTCGGCCTCAGAAGGCAAGGAGGACTAAGGCAGCCCGCTGGCCACTGGGACCAGAGCCCTCACCTGCGGGGCCGCGCAGAGCGAGAGCAGGCTCAGGCAGTTGTCAGACCCCGGTTATAAACCCTCCTTCAGTCTGTTGGGGCCAGGCAGCCCTAGTTGTCCCTCTGTCCCAGGTTAGAGGACGCTCGGAAGAGGCGGTTGACACTGGAAGCCACAGGGAGCCCTGCCCACCGCCCGCTGTCAGCCCCATCTCGGGCAGAGTGGGGGGCGGTCTGGGGGGACCTTCAATGCTGGTTCTCCGACCGCAGCCCACAGCAGGGTCCGCTGATGCCGCGTCAAGGGCATGAGGGGACCAAAACGACGAGGGCACTTCCCTTGGAACCGAGAGCGAGTGACTTAGAATGGCCACAGTCCATGCGCACGAAAGGCGACTGGGCCGTGTTTCACTTTGCTTCACAGACACACCAGTGAGAGTTTGTTGCTTTTGCTAGGTTTAGCTGCTTTAATAAAATTTTATTTTTTATTACCCGGCTTTTCTTATGCTTCACCATAAGTCGTTCTAGAGAACTCGAGGCCCTGACCGGGTGCCCGGGCACAGAGTAGGGATGAGAGGGAAATAGGGGCCAGGCCTTGAATGCGGGAATGACGCTGCTCCAGCCTGGCCCCCAGGGTCAGGGTCAGGGTCAGGGTCAGGGGACTGTGTTCCAGGATGGGCCAGAGCCCATGGCAGAGAAGAGCCAAGCGGCCTGTGAGCGCCGGCTCCTCCGACTGCCCTCTGCGGGAGCCACTGTTTTCTTGCTCACTCCGTGGAGGATGCCGGGGCCTGGAGGGGGCCAGTGACTCACCCCAGTTACCTGCGGTCAGCGGCGAGTCCGTCCGGGCTCTTCGCCACTGCCTCGGCTGCCTCTCGGGAGCCGGGGCTGGGTGCGCCGGCCACCCGGGCTGGGCCTGCGGTTTGCCCACAGGCCCGTGTGCCTGGCGCTTGCCCCAGGGGCGCACTGGCTGTGCCATCGCTTCACGCCAGCTCTCAGTTCAAACCCTAGTTTCTACCGCTGCCAGCGAGGCCGCCTCGGAGCAGTCACTGCATGTCTCTGACCTCAGGTGTCAATCCCCGTGCATATGGAGGTCACGCTTCACGTAAAGGTGCGGGTGAATGTGGAATGAGGGCCCGTGGGGCTGCTCAGCAGAGCGTCTAGAGCACGGACACCCCTCACCCTTCACCCTCCCACTGGGGAGGGAGCAGAGCCTTCTCTTCCCCCCCCGGGTCCTGGCGCCGCTGGCTCCGACTCCAGGCCAGAGAGCCCACAGGGAAGGCTCCTTGCTCTGGG